CGCGCACAAGGCTTCGCCTCAGCTTGTTGTTGGATATGTTCTTGCTTGTCTTTCTCTGCTTTTTGCCGGGGTTAGAGTGTTTGGGGTTTAGGGTTTAGGGTTTGGGGTTTAGGGTTTAGGGTTTAGGGTTTAGGGTTTAGGGTTTAGGGCTTAGGGTTTAGGGTTTAGGGTTTAGGGTTTAGGGTTTGGGGTTTGGGGTTTGGGGTTTGGGGTTTGGGGTTTGGGGTTAGGGTCCTTTCTGAGGCTGGTGTAGATTGTGGCTTTGCTGGGCTGGGGTCTCCACTTGAAACTGATGTTTCAGGGCACCTGACGCTTCGTTTAGATGCGGACATCTCGGTCCCAGATCCTTCCGACATTCCTGGTCGCTTTACCCTAAACCCTAAACCCTAAACCCTAAACCCTAAACCCTAAACCCTAAACCCTAGTATGGTCACCTACTTTCACTTCCTGAAACGACGCCCCAAGCCGAAACTCCGAATGCATCGGGCTTGCTGTGGCATCTTCCTGTGCCTTCCCGTGAGACTGCCAGAGAGACATTGAGCTTAGTGCCTGCTTCAGGGGTATATGAGGTTCCCTAAAACCCTCTAAACCCTGCACCGTAAACCCTAAACCCTAAACCCTAAACCCTAAACCCTAAACCCTAAACCCTAAACCCTAAACCCTAAACCCTAAACCCCCGACATCACTACCATCAGCCCGCAAGACTGGGCAGCCGGGGAGCGAGGTAGCAACTCTGGAAAACTTGTTTTCGCCATCCTCTTGGCATGTATCCTGGGCGGCGGGCGCTTGCACTCCGAAGCTCCCTTTACCCCAGTCCACGATCTTGGGTTTAGGGTTTGAGGTTGAGGGTTTAGGGTTTAGGGTTTAGGGTTTAGGGTCTGGGGTTTAGGGTTTAGGGTTTAGGGTTTAAGGCAAAAAAGGATCAATGCTGTCACCATTGGCTACGAGACGGTCTCCATACACCCCTGCGCCCCTAAACTCGAAACACTGAACCTGGACCCAAGGTGGTCTGTGTGCTGAATATCTCATGTGCACGTGGGAGGTGGGTGACTTGGGAGACGGCAGGATTGAGGTTTGTAGGTGAATATACCTTTTTGGTGCCTAGGCCTGTCCACAGTACTTGAAGGCTCATGGTTACTTATAAGCAGGGGGTTTCAAAGCCCTCAACAAGGTTATAACCCTAGCTACCCTACTTAAACCCTAAACCCTAAACCCTAAACCCTAAACCCTAAACCCTAAACCCTAAACCCTAAACCAAGTACCCATGAACCTCCAAGTTGCTGTGCTGTGGCCGCAGGCTTGCAAAGCGTCTGAATTGGCAAAGGGGTTCAAGGCTCAGAGTCTGGGTGCGGGCTTAACCCCTAAACCGTCTAGGGATTAGGGTTTACGGGTTGGGGTTTGGGGTTTAGGGTTTAGGGTTTAGGGTTTAGGTTTAGGGTTTAGGGTTTAGGGTTTAGGGTTTAGGGTTTAGGGTTTAGGGTTTAGGGTTTAGGGTTTAGGGTTTAGGGTTTAGGGTTTAGGGTTTAGGGTTTAGGGTTCAGGGTTTAGGGTTTAGGGTTTAAAGCTACCACCCAGACTGCAGCCGCAGCACACCCCACCATGCTCCGATACAGAGCTTTGCCACTGGCCATGGCACCAGTGAGGCCCCAGGCTCAGAGAGCTATGGGTAGGCTATAGGGTTTAGGGTTTAGGGTTTGGGGTTTGGGGTTCAGGGTTAGGTGTCCTAATGATTAGAATAGGGTTTTGGGGGGTATGTATAGTATACTTCTATAGGGACCATAGGGGAATACGATTAGTAACCATTCCGATCCCTGCATGAGTTGGGTCGAGGGCTTAGGTTCAAAGGTTGAGAAGTTGAAGCAAGGGTGCTAAATTCTTCAAAACCTCCAACAGCCTCAAACCAACATGCTTTGCAGAAGCTCGGGTTCCTTCCTTTAGTCTAATCCTCATGTCCCCCTCCTTTTTTTCGGCGGCAGCGAGTCACGAGCAAAGATGGGCGCGCAGCAGCCAGAGCGTGGAGGCTTGCAGGGGTTCAACCCTAAACCCTAAACCCTAAACCCCAAACCCGAAACCCTAAACCCTAAACCCCAAACCCTAAACCCTAAACCCTAAACCCTAAACCCTAGACCCTAAACCCTAAACCCTAAACCCAAGACCATCCTTCCGGATCAGCGCCCCGATCGTGGCCCCCGCCACCCTAAGCCCTGAACCCTAGGTGACCCATGCGGGTTCTGAGCTTCGGTTTACGGTTTAGGGTTTTGGTTTTTGGGTTTAGGGTTTAGGGTTTAGGGTTTAGGGTTTAGGGTTTAGGGTTTAGGGTTTAGGGTTTAGGGTTTAGGGTCTAGGGTTTAGAGCTTAGGGTTTAGGCTTTAGGGTTTCGGGTTCAGGGTTTAGGGTTTGGGGTTTAGGGTTTGGGGCTTAGGGCTTCAGAGTCTCGCTTCAGATGCCAAGAAAGTGGGAAGTTGAGCCTAGGGCGGTTGCGGTTGAGACTCCGGGGTTGTTTCTGGGGGGCCCCTTATTTCTAAAGGTGCCCGGACCAATTAGGGGGCCCAAGCAGGAACCTAACTTCGAGAACTACCCATAATACCCTCATCCAGCCATAAGCACCAAGACGCTAGAAAGGCAAAAACCCTAAACACTAAACCCTAAAGCCTAAACCCTAAACCCTAAACCCTAAACCCTAAACCCTGAACGCGGCTTCGTGATGTAGGGCGTCCTGCTTGGGCTTCTGCTTTCTTCAGCGGAAACCCTGACAACCCGAAACCCTAACCCTGAACATCCCTGAACCCTAAACCCGTTCCCTAAACCCAAACCCTAACCCCTAAACCCTAAACCCGAAACCCTTTCACATTCACATATGGGGCTCCGGGCTCGAGAGTTTTCCGGTCCAGCCTGGGAGGAAGGCCCCTCCACTCGGAAAAACAAGGATACCTAGAAGCAGGGCTACAAGTACTGCAAGTTAGGCTATGCTTCTAACTTGTAACCAGTGGAGGTTTAGGATTTAGGGTTTAGGGGTTCGCATAAGAAGGGTTTAGAAGTACCCTAAACAAGGTTGCAACAATATAGTTGCCCGCCTTCTAACTTCCAACTCTACTTATAAGTACCCATGAACCTCCAAGTAGTAGCCCTAACCCTAAACCCAAAAAACCCAAAACCCTAAACCCTAAACCCAAAAAAACCCAAAACCCTAAAGCCAAAAAACCCAAAACCCTAAACCCTAAACCCCTAGGACCAAGCACTCTGGGTTTAGAGCTTGGGGTTGCCAGAAGACACCCGAGCTCTGTTGCTTGCCCTAAACCCTAAACCCTAAACCCTAAACCCTAAACCCTAAACCCTAAACCCTAAACCCTAAACCCTGGGCCGCGGATCTTTCTCCATAACCTGGCCCCTTGAGCCACCTCTCCGACACATCTAGCGTACAGGTGGGTTTAGGGTTTAGGGTTTAGGGTTTAGGGTTTAGGGTTTAGGGTTTAGGGTATAGGGTTTAGGGATTAGGGATTAGGGTTTAGGGTTGAGGGTTTAGGGTTTAGGTTTTAGGGTTCAGGGATCGTCTCGCCTCGGATTTCAAAAATTCAGGGTTCGAGGTTCAGTGTCGAGAGCTTCGGGACCCAGGGTTTATATCTTCAGTCGCTCCCAAGCAGAGGCGCGCCTTTTTCTTGACACCGCCTGCGAAAAGCTCAAAGGCCTCACTCTAAGAGAGGTCTTATAGAGGTGCTGCCGCAGGGTAGGGGAGCTTGACAAGGACCGTTCAGCAGCCTTCCTAAAGGAGGGCTCTTTGTGAACAGCTGCACCTAAAACTCTGAACGCCTAGACTCTAACACCACCCTTACTTGAAGGTTCATGGGTTTCTATAAGTAAGGCTTCAACATATCCCAAACTCAAGTTATAGCCTGTTGTAGCGATCGTTTCCCTAGACATAGACGCCGTGAAGAGGTAAACACAAAACCCAACAATCTAGGGCCCCAAAAAACCACAGAAGCAAAAATTAGGATAGAGGGATATCCCATATAAACCCCCTTTTAATGAAGCCCAATAAGGTAGGGATATCCCTATAAAATGCTTATGCTTATGTCCTTTTTGGGTCCCTAACAATCCAGGGTCGATAGGTTTGCCAACCAGACCCCTTCTAAGGACCTAAGCAGGAGGACGTACGGTTCACGGTGCAGGGTTTAGGGGTTAGGGTTTAGGGTTTAGGGTTTAGGGTTTAGGGTTTAGGGTTTAGGGTTTAGGGTTTAGGGTTTAGGGCTCCTACACAAAAATGCCCAGCGCCCTAAGCCCTAAGCTGTTCAGCATCCGTGGACTGAGAGGCTCAGGGTTTAGGGCTTTAGGGCTTTAGGGCCTAGAAGGGGCTTCAGGTTAGGGATGTCTGCAGGGCTTGGGGTCTATAGATGTAGAAGGCAAAACGGGTTTAGCACTTGGGTTGTGTCTTGGTAGCCCAGTTTTCCACATTACGGTAAGGGTACCCGTTTTGGGGTTGGATACTAGTAGAAGGGAATCTAGGACCAACAAAAGGGCAAAATGGTATCAAGGTATAGTCTAAGAACAATACAACATACGCCATCCCATAGAAGTAAGGAAGGATTTTTCCACACACCCATGAATTTCTTTTATCTAAGAAAGATTCAACATACCCCTTGGGCACACCCTTAAGAAGAAACTAAGGAGTAGGGAAAAACCTCTCTCTATATATTTTTTTCATAGGTTAAGGGGTGTGGGTTTGGAGTATGTCCTAAACCCTAAACCTTAAACCCTAAACCCTAAACCCTAAACCCTAAACCCCAAACCCTAAACCCCAAACCCTTTCTTAGATTCTCAGGGGCATGCCCAAGGGGCATGTTGAATATTTCTTGGATATTGCCTAGGTCTCAGGGTGCGGCAGTCCCTGCCCTAAACCCTAAACCCTAAACCCTAAACCCTAAACCCTAAACCCTAAACCCTGAACCCTAAACCCTAAACCCTAAACCCCTCCCCCCCCTCCCCTCTCCACTCCGCGGCTCGGTTCAGGCACTCAGAGCCTTCGTGGCCATTTCTCGGGCGCCTTTCTCAGTCCTTTGCGGAAGTCGGGCCGGATTGGTTTAGGGTTTACGGTTTAGGGTTTAGGGCTTAGGGTTTAGGGCTTAGGGTTTAGGGCTTAGGGATTAGGGTTTAGGGTTTAGGGTTTAGGGTTTAGGGTTTAGGGTTTAGGGTTCAGGGTTTAGGGTTTAGGGTTTAGGGTTTAAGGTTTAGGGTTTAGGGTTTCGGATCAGTGGGTTCAGCAGGTTCAATGGTTTTAGAAAAGAGGTACCCTTGGGGGGTTCAGTGAGTTTGGGAGGCATTGGGGCTCGAGGATTCATGTCAAAATTCGCCAGGCAGTCTCAAGAGACTGATATGCCCTGCATCCCATAGTCCCTAAAACCTTAACCGCAAACCCCAAACCCTGAACCCTAAAACCCTAAAGCTCTAAACCCCCAAACCCAAAACCCTAACCCCAAAACGCTAAACTCCAACCTAATTCAGCCAAGCAAGGGCTCTTGTGTGAGGAGAGCTCGACAAGCGATCTTTATCGAACTTGTGATTGACTGTTGCAGCTCCCTACTGCAAAAAGGCCTGGTTGCCGGAGCTCGGAACCTCCAACCCCGAACCCCCGAACCCCTAAACCCTAACCCCTAAACCCTAAACCCCAAACCCTAAACCCGAAACCCGAAACACTAAGCACATCACCAGACCCGAAGGCACCCCCACACTCACCCAGAATTAAGGCGGGGGAAGGCAAGGGTGTGCCCCTTGGGGTGTGCCCGCTGGGTAGGGTGTAAGGTTTAGGGTTTAGGGTTTAGGGTTTAGGGTTTAGGGTTTAGGGTTTAGGGTTTAGGGTTTAGGGTTTAGGGTTTAGGGTTTAGGGTTTAGGGTTTAGGGTTTAGGGTTTAGGGTTTAGGGGCTCATGAAGCACCAGCCTCTTGCGGTCGAAACCGAGCGATGAACCCATCAAACGCCGTTTGTCAACTGAGCCCCCCAACGCATTTCCGCCGATGAAGCCGTTGGCGTGGACGAAGATACAGCCTCTTCCGCGCTTCGAGGGGTGCTGAGCGCTATTTGGCAAACACCCCTCTATGTAGGTTGTACCTTGGACCCTTAAGGTTGTAGCCTTGGGTCTTGGGGACCCTCCTTAAGATTCTTTTGGTAGTATAAGGGTCACATTAGGAGCATACTAAGGGGAACCTTTAGGGGCACAACCTTAAGGGCACGAGTCTTAATCCCAGAACGCCCGCTTCAAGTTCTTCACCCTAAGAAGCAGAAGCCTCCACAGAGCAGATCTACTCATGATGGCCGTGCTTTAGAGAAGAAAAACTCGAAGAGGCCATAGCCCTAAACCCTAAACCCCAGACCCTATACCTAACCCCTAACCCCTAACCCCTAAACCTAAACCCTAAACCCTAAACCCTAAACCCTAAACCCTAAACCCTAAACCCTATACCCTATACCCTAAACCCTAAACCCTAAACCCTAAACCCTAAACCCTAAACCCTAAACCCTAAACCCTAAACCCTAAACCGGCCCTAAACCCTAAACCCTAAACCCTAAACCCTAAACCCTAAACCCTAAACCCTAAACCCTAACCTAAACCCTCAAGGGTTGGCCTTGAACTGTTGGGTTGAGGGCAGCTTATGGGGTCTGTAGGGTTTGCGGGGTTTTGTGGGGGGGGGGGGGGGGGGGGGGGGGGGGGTGAGGTTAAAGGGTATAGGGTTTAGGGTTTAGGGCTGAGGGTTTAGAGTTTAGGGGTTTGTGTGGTTTAAAGGCTTAGTTTTGGGGGGGGGGGGATGTATGGGCCGCTGGTCCCACCTTCGATACCGGACACCTTGCTGAGCTCGTCGTCACGTACACCACACCATGCAGCCGGCAAACGAAGCCTGCCAGCGTTGAGGCTTGACCCTTACAGGTCTGGGTACTACAAAAAATCAGGGGTGACTTCACTCCCGAAAATACATATTTTACTTCGAACATCCCCACCCTCTCTTGGTCGAGATACTCTGGGGTTGGACATTCCAGGGACACTCTGGAGTTGGGCACTGTAGGAACATTTGGCACTTTAGGGACACTCTGGGATTGCACTCTGGGGTTGGCCACTTCAGGGACACTCTTGGGTTGGGCACTCCAGGGACACTCTTGGGGTTGGGCACTCCAGGGACACTCTGGGATTGCACTCTGGGGTTGGCCACTCCAGGAACAACCCCACACCGAGGGTGGAATCCCGGGCTTCCCTACTACCCCCCACCCCCCTCTATACTACCCCCAGGTTCCCCCTTAAAAAGGGCCTTAAAAAGCTTATCCCTAAACAGCCTTAATTATGGGGGGAACCTAGGGGGGTGTACAGAGAGGGGTAGTAGGGGAACCCATGAAAATAGGCGAACGCCAGCGCCCAAAAACTGTAGTCAAATTGCTTAGGGCCTATAGGGCTCCGAAGCCTGGGAAGCACACCAGAAAGACATGCAACCAACGAGCTGACAACATCCTGGCACATCTAAGGGTTTAGGATTTGGCGCTTAGGGTTTTGGGTTTTGGGTTTGGGGTTTAGGGTTTAGGGGTTAGGGTTTAGGGTTTAGGGTTTAGGGTTTCACGCAATGCTTCTTAAACTGGGAGCTCACGGCCACAAACATTGAACAAGGCATCGCATGCCTGAGGTCGAAGCTGCCACGGGCCTTCAGAGAGAAGCTGACAAATTAGAGGGCTTGGGGTTTAGGGTTTCGGGTTTCGGGTTTAGGGTTTAGGGTTTAGGGTTCAGGGTGCACAGGGGGTTCAGCTTTGGGCTTGACACCCCGCGGCAACATGTCCAACCGGAGGTCAAGCTCTAGCGAATACAGCCGGATGCAAACACCCATATGGCCAAGATCAGTATCAAACTCCTTCTGAAGACACATAATGCCGCAAAAGCCATCCATCACGTCGTATGACGGCGAGAAAAAACCTAAGCCCTTGTTTGGGTCCCACACGGCTGGCGCCGCCTGCACTCGCCAACTTCCTCGGCTGTCCTTTGCAAGCAATTCTGAACCGCAAGCCGTTCTTCTTTAAGTCAAAAGCTGTCCCTCGAAAATCCACAGCCGATGCCGCAACTTACCATTCACAGGCATCTTGTTCGCGAAGCCGCCCGCAAACATCGCAACCATTGAACAAGGCGCATGGCAGATGTTCGCTACGGACACACGCAAGCACGCACACGCACACACGCAAAAATGCTTGAGATCTAAATGCAACTAGCCATCAGTCATAAGAGAGATGTGCGCGAACTTACATGAGGCTCCTGTGCTGCAAGGAAAGAGGGGGATTCCAGTAATAGTGATACCCTTTTTGGGGTCTGGGATTGGTAGCTACTGGTAGTGTGTGTGTGTGTGTCATCGCAGCTTCAGGTGGCGGAACCAACCCAGGGCAAAGTTTTGGGCGGTGCGGAGGATGATTTGGGATGGCACGGCCTGCGCTTTTCAAGATTTCGGGTTGACCAAAATTCGGGGGCCGGCCCTTCTCCAACAAAGTAAATGGGGTTCTGGCAACACCTGAGAAGGACGCGATAACCCGGAACCCTGAACTCAAGTCAAAGGTATAGCGTGTCTGAGGGGGTTGCGGCCTAGGTTCCCCATAGAGAAGCAGGGCAACCAGCCTAAGAGAAACAGGGCAACCTGAACATTAGTTGCACGAGGACAGAAGCGCATAAGATCGCGCGATTCCACAAAAAAATACTGAGCACTGCTCAGCGGCGGTCCGGATGGGCTGGACCCTGTGTGACCGCTGCCAGCTTCATCTGATGAGCGTGCTCCAGTGCATCTCTCAATTTGGAAGCTTACGAAAATGAAGGACCCCAAACAAAGACCCCCAAATGGTAGGATTCCCTTATAATAAGGACCCCAATAAGGTACCCCCAATTTCGGAAGCCATTTGCGAAAGCGAATGAGCGCAACTACCAAGCGTTTTTGGGACCAGGCCGCCAAAGGCAAAAGAGAGCGGATTCGCCCCGCATGTAATTGAACCCAATACTCAAGAGGCAAATTCTGCACATCCTGCGGAGCACGATGCATGTCATGAAGCACTGTCATCCTGCCTGGCGGTGCAGAGTAGATGACTGCGTATGAAGTCGATGGAACGAAAGCCAAACTAGAATGATTTGCACACTAGAGGATGAACACGCTACACTGGCGTGCTACATATGATCACAAGAATACGCTGCAGCATAGCCTCAATGGCAAAGAATCGTTTGTGTTATACAGAAGAAACAGCCTCAGCAGCATCAGGAGGACAGGAACGCGAAAGACTACATGGTTGGGATGTTCCCCCTTATACTAACAGTCCTTGATAGGGACTACAATAGGGGGTACTACACTCCCTATTTCGGACTGCTAGTACAAGGGGACATCTCAACCACACGGTTCCACAGGGAACCGAATAAGCTTGGAACAAAAGTGGCCTTGTTCTTCGGCGTCCAAATGGGTTGGACAATGTGTAGCCGCTGCAACAAAAACTCGCGAGCATGCTCCCGCTGACGAGATGAGCCCTACTCTTCTGGGGGGGTTTCCGAAATTAAGGGTACCTTATTGAGGCCTACTATCTGGGGGATTTTGGGGGGGCTAGATTGGGGGCCCCTTATTTTCGTAACCCGCTAATGTTGGACTCGCTTTAGTGTGGGCCCCCCCCCCCCGCCCCCGCCCCCCAAACAATTTTGGGGTTTTCGGGGATCCTTAATAATGTGGGATGGGGCTGGGACGGGGGCTGGGGGTAGGGCGGCTAGGGGTCGAGGGTTGAGGGGAAGCCTTGAAGCTTGAGGGTCTAAGCTTTCCAGGCTTTGTAGCTCCACGGTCGCCGGGGCTCCGCATTAATGCGGACCACCGAAACAACTTGCTAAGCGAATCAGGGCAGCTCGTGGGCTACTCCCTTGGAAAATTGTTTGGGGGCCTGTTTCGTAATGAAATTTTACAAGGAATTTAAATAAGGCTGGACACCAAACAAATCCGGAGCTTCTTATTCAAAACTTTTTTTAGTTTTTGGCTCCCCGACCCCCCGCCCTTTCAACCCCAGCCGGGACAACATCGCATAATTGTGAACCACCCTAAACAATGGGGGGTTCTGTATAAGATTTTCTGAACATCGCATAATAGCGGTCCCATCCACTAAAGCGGGTGCAACATTATTGAGCCGCAGGAGCTTGGGTATAGTGGAATCACCGACAAGTCAAGTCCGCAACGCTATGCCAAAAACCCACTTGTAGGTTCATGGGTACGTATGAGTAGGGATATAAGTAGGGTAGCTATGGTTATAAACTTATCTAGGGTACTTATAACCCTACTTGTAAGTACCCATGAACCTCCAAGGACCTAACAGCAATCTTTGTGGAAGCTCTTGCGCTCTGCTTTGCAAGGGTTCGATGGTTGGTGTCAACTGGTGGTTTTGGATGATATCCTGTGCCGAACGCAGCCTTACCTAGGATCTCAGCGGACGTAAGCCCCTGACGAGCACCCCTGTGTCCACCCTAAACCCTAAACCCTAAACCCTAAACCCTAGAACCAAGCTCTGCGCCCAAGAAGGGGCGGCTCCTGGAACAGGACGTACTTGACCAAGGGCGTACGGTGGGCCTGCCAGGCAGCCACACGTAAGGGTCCGGCAGTAATTTGGGATCTGTGTTGTTTAGGGTTTAGGGTTGAGGGTTTAGGGTTTAGGGTTGAGGCTTGAGGGTTGAGGGTTGAGGGTTGAGTGGTTCAGTATTTAGGGTTTAGCTCTATGCATCTAAACAAGCAAGCAGGAGGAGTCAACCAAGTCCAGAAGAAGCAAATCAACCCCCGACTTTAAACGCCAAACCGTCTTGGAACCTAAACCCTGAACAAAGAGGTCGTTGATAACCAAACTCTTTGCAAACACCTCTCTTAGATCCCAAAACTTTATAAACACTATACATGTATAAATTTCATAAGTTTTACCTTTTAAAGTGAAGTTTATCACCCGAAACCCTAAACCCTGAAGCCTCGGAACCTTGAAGCCCGTGCTCTTGCAATGAACCAATGAACCCCTAGTCCCGACAATCCTTATTGCCCGCAACCAGCAATCCGAGGAAAGCAAAAGGGTTTAGGGTGTAGGGTGTAGGGTTTAGGGTTTAGGGTTTGGGGTTTGGGGTTTAGGGTTTAGGGTTTAGGGTTTAGGGTTTAGGGTTTAGGGTTTAGGGTTTGGGGCTGTAAGGGGCCCAGGGCTTCAAGCTTGCGGGGCTTCATCAGCAGAAGGTCCAGACACCAAAAACCTTACCAAACCCCAAGCTCAGACGGCCCATGTATTATAGGCGCCTTAATAATTAGAATAGGGTTTTGGGGTTTTTTATAGTATAATCTTAAAGGGACCAGGCGGGAATACTACTAGTATTTATTTCCGACCCCTGAGTTGCCCTAAACCCTAAACCCGAAACCCGAAACCCTAAACCCAAAACCCTACATTGCACCCTCCTGCTCCCCTGCCTCCTCCTCTTCCTCGAGGTCAAAGAGGTGGTCTTGCCACGGGCAGAACCGCGACAGCTGCATGATCTCAGTGCCCACTGACAAGTTTAATACAGGGGCCTGAATGATTCGAATGCGGTCTTGGGGGGTATTATTGGAGTGCAGTAATATAGGGGCCTTAAGAATTAAAATAAGGGTTTGGGGGAGTTGTCGTCAGTAGTGTTTTTATAATCTTAATATAAGGGCCTGAATAAGCAGGATAAGGGTTTTGGGAGGGTTATTGTAGTAGAAGTAGAAAGCGCCCAAAAGGGAATATGATTGGAAATTATTCCGGTCCCGATATTACCCACTTGCAGGTCTGAGGGTTTAGACACCCCGAAACACGCCACTGGGCAGTAGACACCATGAACCCTACGTACACCCTTAAACCTTACTCTCAACCCGAAGCTTATATGGGGGGTTTCCGAAAGTAGGGGTACCTTATTGGGGTCCTTTTTAGAAGGGAATCCTACTCTTTGGGGTCTATACTAGGGGTCCCTTATGTTCGTAAAACCGCCATTTTTCGGGTAAGAAGCTTCGGGGACCCTGGAAGATCAGGTGCGGACTTTCGAGGGCGTTGAGGGGTTTTCGAGGCTTAGACGTCTCACAGGGCACAGGTAGCTCCAGGGCTTGTAAGCTTGAGAGGTTGAGGTTTACTCGCCCTTGATATCCCAGTAGCCATGTTGCAGCAAGGGTGCGCTTTTTGGATTCGGCTTCGAAAAGGGTACCACTGGGGTGCCAGTTCGGGTTGGGGTTTAGGGCCCCGCACCCTGAACCCCAAACCCTATAGCAACCCTAAACCCTAAACCCTAAACCCTAAACCCTAAACCCTAAACCCTCTAGGAGATGTCTTGGGCAACGTCAGCTCTTTTCGGATGTCCCGAACCAGGCAATGACCTGGAAAGTCCGGAGTAAAACGTATTCAACCCAAAGATTAGGGTTTAGGGTTTAACCTTAAACCCTAAACCCCAAACCCTCAACCCTCAACCCAAAGGTTAGGGTTTAGGGTTTCAGGGGCCCTATGGACCTCCCCGGAGTCGTGCACAGAGCGGCGGCTGGACAGGGCCTGCATGGGTTTAGGGTTTAGGGTTTAGGGTTTAGGGTTTAGGGCTTAGGGTTTAGGGTTTAGGGTTTAGGGTTTAGGGTTTAGGGTTTAGGGTTTAGGGTTTAGGGTTTAGGGTTTAGGGCTTAGGGTTTAGGGTTTAGGGTTTAGGGTTTAGGGTTTAGGGTTTAGGGTTTGGGGTTTAGGGTCCAGGGTTTAGGGCTTAGTAGGGAATGGGGGAATGAGGTACCCTATGTAATCCCTTAAAGGGTATATACAGGGCCCTAAACTCCCTCATTGCCCTACTAAGAACAGGATTTTTTGCTTCGGTGGATTTGCGCGCTTCTTGGGGTTAAGGTTCTTGGGGGTTTCGGGTTTTGGGGTTGCAGGGGGTTGGGGGTTTCGGGCCCTGTTGTGAGGATTTGGAGCTGCTCCGAGGCTCTTGAGCTTTTGGTTGGACGTCAGGTTTTCCAAGATCCCCAAATGAGCTCGAAAACTACAGGGTTTAGGGTTTAGGGTTTAGGGTTTAGGGTTTAGGGTTTAGGGTTTAGGGTTTAGGGTTTAGGGTTTAGGGTTTAGGGTTTAGGGTTTAGGGTTTAGGGTTTAGGGTTTAGGGCTTAGGGTTATGTTACTACGGACACTCTACCTGTATCACTAGTCATAGCCACCCCGGAGCTCAAAACGACCCTGGACCCCAAACACTTTCCTCCCTGCATCCGTGGGGCTCTGTGTTGCAACCTGAGGGCTGTTGAGGGGTTACGGTTCCGAGCTTCAGGCACCGCAAAACCCTAAACCCTAAACCCTAAACCCTAAACCCTAAACCCTACACCCGCCTCGTCCACCAGCGTGCGTGCTGGCAGCCAATGGGTGGCGTAGCCGCAGACGATGTCGCAAAGCTCCTGGCCCCCGTCGAAGTTAGGACTAGGATTTAGGGTTTAGGGTTTCGGGTTTAGGGTTTAGGGTTTAGGGTCTAGGGTTTCGGGTTTAGGGTTTAGGGTTTAGGGTCTAGGGTCTCGGGTCTAGGGCTTAGGGCTTAGAGTTTAGGGTGGTTTAGGGTGGTTTAGGGTGGTTTAGGGCGGTTTAGGGCGGTTTAGGGTGGTTTCGGCTGCTTGGGGTTGCTCCGGGGCTTAGGGTCGGGGTTCAGGCCTTTTGGAGCCGTTTACCGTCTTGACACTCCCTCCATCATCTCAACTGTTTGGGGGGGGGGGGGGGGGGGGCAGTAGACACGATGCACAGTCAACAGGCTGCAAACCCTAACCCTAAACCCTAAACCCTAAACAGGGGTATATACGACGCACAGTCAACACGCTACAAGCCCTAAACCCTAAACCCCAAACACTAAAACCCCAAAACCCTAAACCCTGAAACCCTGAAACCCTAAACCCTAAACCCTAAACCCTACACCCTAAACCCTAAACCCTAAACCCTAAACCCTAGTCTCGGACCTAGTCACACTACCCCTAAAGGCCCATGTCCTTGGCGGCGACAAGAAGCGCCTCGCAAGTGGGGGGGGTTTCTTTTGTTGGGTTCAGCACTTCGGGTTTCGGGTTGCAGGTTTCGGGTTTAGGGTTTAGGGTTTAGGGTTTGGGGTTTAGGGTTTAGGGTTTAGGGTTTAGGGTTTAGGGTTTAGGGTTTAGGGTTCAGGGTCAGGAAATTGTCTCGGTGTTCGAGGACCCTGCTTTCAAGACTCTCAGCTCGAAGAGCCACAAGCTTCAAGCTGTGCAATCTTGAGATGTGGCAGTGTGTGGCTGTGGCCGCTGCGGTAGAACCATTTCTCAAGCTGCTTGCTGAATGAGTTTGGGGTTTAGGGAGGAGAGAGGATGGCTTAGGAGTTAGCATGTCTGTTCCCGGACAATCTGCTGAAAAGGCATCTAAATCCTAAACCCAAAACCCTAAACTCTAAACCCGAAACCCCATTTCAGGAAGCC